CAATGTCTGTTCTTTACGTATCTGGACGTGTGAATTTTATCACCAACTGTACGATGTGATAAAAAAGAAATATGTATGAAAAAAACATCAATGACCTTGGAAAGCCCTTGAAAAAAAATAACTTTACCAATTGTTAGTCTTTTGGATACCAATCACATTAGGCAAAAAATATTTTTTATCTCATTACAATTCGAAAAAAGATATTTAGGTGGCCTCAGCCTGTATTTGCTGCGTGTTAAAATTCCAGATGACACAAAAATTGTTCAATTTTAAAATATAAGTAAGAAAGCTGAAGGTATAACAGTTTCTACTTCGGGCATATTGAAATTAATGTCTGGTTGTTTAAATACATACTGGAATTCGTTTTTTTTTTTTTTTTTTTTTTTTAAAATCGTCGTCGAGCCACTTGTTGATCAGTAGATATTATTATAAAGACAGAGGTGTCGATACGGGACTCTGCAAACGCTTAGAATATTTTAACACTGGAACTAGACCAAATATGATATCGCATTTTCCTGTTTTTTTTCTTCAATAGTTTAAAAGACACGAGTGTTTTTGTCAAAACTGATATTCACTTCTGACAGATTGCGTTTAGACAGAAACATACATAATTCTATATATCTATTTACATCATTTAAATTGTAATAATAAATCTATCTATTTATATTACTGTGTGAATCTATCTATTTATTATTCTGTCTATTTAAATTGTATGAATCTATCTATTTATATCATTTCTTTTAAGATTAATATTTTTTATTATATTTATGAATTTTTTTAGATTATTTCTCTATATTTTTTTATTAAACAAAACATTTATTATTTAATTTACCAATATCTTTATTACTGTGATTAAGATTTTTCATTTATCAAATATTTAATTATCCAATTAATTTTTTAAAACATATGTTTCCTTCTGAACCTCTTAATTTTGAACTTTATCAATCCGATTATTATCAAATTTAATTTATAGACATTTGATTTTAATTTTATTTATCATATTCAAATTGTACAAATCCATCTATTCGTTATTATCATCTAAAATTGCGACAGTTGCGGTCAATTCTAACAGTTGCAATAAACATGTGGACATTACTAAACACATGGTGATTCAATATAATGTAGAATTTAATAAACATGTACATATGTATTTCAAGTATTTCTCGTGATACATTAAAGACCGTGTTTGTTTTAGTCTCAAGTAAATATTTAACACTTCCCGATTTAACATTTCCCGATTCTTTTGAATAATGTGCATACTGTACGGGGGAAACGTAATATTTTTATACAATACGTGACGTATCGTAATGTCGTGGAATGTCACGTGTCGTACGTCGATGACATTCGCGGTCGGAATTCGCTCCGTTTTCGAAAATTCCACCCGGGAGATAGAAAATAATATCGTGCACGTGAATGATACGGTGCATCGTGCAATGAGCAAGAATTAAACAAATCGAATGAATCGCTGGACGTTTAAGCGAAATACGGTGTAATTTGCAACGAGTACGTACCATACATATCATACATATATGATAAATATGTTGATTTATCTAACTAAAACTTATTAAATTGAAAATGTCACCGCTTTAATGATTTGGTTTAATCATTTTATTAATATAGAACGTGTATAATATAGTATAATATAGTATAGAATGTGTAGTACTTATGTATAAGATGTTCGTATTTGATAATCAAACGATCTTTTTAAATGTTTGAAAACACGTTCCATTACGCAGTAATCTCGCGAGGGTTAAAAAAACCACAAAAGCCGGGATTACCATTACATCATTGAGCCAAAATACATTCGAGCTCATAAAAAAAAAAAAAAAGAAGAAAAAGAAAAATTGATACGTTACCTCACTCAAGAATTAATCTCATGTTTCGCATGATATTCGTTGCACGTTCGGATGCGCCTCCGCGACTACGGATCGGACCTTATTTGTGAAGAGCGTTCTTCGGAGGCACCAGGTGTCGCAAGAATTTTATCTATTGTCGTGCGTATTTTCCTTTTGCTTTACGATGGCCCGCCTCGCGAAAGAAAGCGGATCTCGCGCGCGTGGAACAGGTCGAGGAGGAGGCAACTTGGAATGCGTGGCTCGGCGACGGAGATTTTTGCGGGCTGACGAATCCTTATCGGGAATTTTACCAACGAATTTCACGACGGTTACCGTGTGAATTTTAATTCCGCAACTTGATTTAGGACAGTGACGGGCGGAAGGATTTTTCGGGAAATAGTGATAATCGTTCGAGGAAAAAATAGTGATAATAATCGTGAATTTACAGTGACTCGTAAAATTGCTGGATAAATTTTTTTTCACAATTGTGCTAGCCCACCATGAGCTTGAAGATCGAAGCCTCTTTAAAACGATCCCTTGAAACTTGTGCGATTATTAGGCAAACTCGGCGCGCCGATTAAGAAATTTCCGTTAATTGAGAAATTGAAATGGATTTACGTAATAACGCGTAATCTGAATTGTTATCGTGGTTCGCAATGTTTCTGTTATTGCCATCGAGTAATGTACTGGCTCTTTATCAATTAACGTGAAGCAATAGGAATTCACTGCGATAAGTATGCGGGAAAATTAATGATTTTTGTTCATTATACGCGATACGTCATGGGTGGAATATTATATAAGTAGAAATTTGGAGAATTTCGAGAATTCACTCACGTGTTTCAACTCTCGGAAATATATGGTCCCTTTAGGTTCATAATTAATCCCTAACTTGGGCATAATGTTGCGTAATGTAAAGACGTTGCGTATATATAATGTAATATTGCGTAGCTGAATTTTAACACATATAATATCTCATATACACAAATAGAAGTTTTTTTTTCAAAAAAATAGTGAATACAGAATTTAGAAACATTTTTTATTTGTAATAAAATAGTAAAAAGAGTTTTCTAACATTTAATGGACGTTTAAGGAGTATCTATCTCTTTATGTTTGAATTTTAATATAGCAAACTAGACCGCAATTTCATATTTTTATGACGATAATTAAAGAAACAAAGTCTACGCAAAAATTTGCTTCCATCACTATAATGTTATATAAAGGATATAAGTATTATAAAAATATTATAAATATTATAAAGATATATATATTATAATATTTAATATATAATATTATAAATATTATAAAGAAATATATATATATATATTATAATATATAATATCATAAATATTATAAAGAAATATATTTTAATATTTAATATATAATATTATAAATATTATAAAGAAATATATTTTAATATTTAATATATAATATTATAAATATTATAAAGAAATATATTTTAATATTTAATATATAATATTATAAATATTATAAAGAAATATATTTTAATATTTAATATATAATATTATAAATATTATAAAGAAATATATTTTAATATTTAATATATAATATTATAAATATTATAAAAGACATTTCATATATTTCCAAATATTGCGTATATTTTCTACCTATCTGCATTCTTAAATTTTCTACGAACGCATAAAAATCTACGGAACAGTAACAAACGCGAAACGTTATCTCGCGACATGTATCACGCTATCACGATTTTCTGCAATATTTTTGTAACAAGGGAACGCGTCAATTGAAATCAGAGAAAAGATTTGTAACGTCGTACGACATTGCTTGATCTCCGGAGATGAAGTCGGTTTCTCGCGGAGAGACAAAAGGATTATCGACGCTTGCGGGCAAGTTAATACTTGTGTGAAAACTCAGTTAAGTATCAGGGTACGTAACGAGGTTAAGAGAAACTAAACAGAACGACGAAGTTAAGAGAAAGAAGAGAAAGAATGAAATTCGAGCGAGGAAACTTCAGACGGACCAATTGAAAAATATCAGAGGCTAGTTCGAATTACAGAAACTTTTACAGCGAGCTTCGTGAAAGTTGTGGGATAAGAGACTTCTCCTAAAAGAGAGAAACACTCAGGCAGGAATTCACGCGATGAGAAATAGAAAGTCTTTTTGACAAATTTATATTTCGGACTTGTCGGTGATTTCACACTTCGAATATTGTAATGAACGAATTGTACGATGTTTGTCTCTGTGTGATAGGACTTTTTATTCGAAATCAAGATTAACGTACATATGAAAACATACTTTGTACAAAGACAAGAATCTTTGTAATTAATTGTGCAAGATTCATTAAAATAAAACAACACATTTGAATGTAGTGTGCTGTTTGAATTTAAAATAAGATTATGAAAAGTTTCAGTAAAAGAACACAATACGATTTGACAATACTAATTTAATATTACAAAATAGTGTGCTTTATGTACATAGAAATGTGTATAAAGAAGAATAGAGGAAAGAGTCTTTTAATTTACTACCAATTACTATTAATTAATAGTACATTAATAGTGCATTTACTACTAATTAATAGTACAAGAGTCATTCATTATTAATATTCAATTTCAATAGTCAATATTCAATATATTCGGTATTCAATTTATGGTATATATAAATACTAGAGTATATATAATATTAGTAAATATTAGTATTATATAGTATAATATTCGCATAATCTGTCGTTACTATTAACTTACTTAAATCAATTTCAATAATCAATATTCAATATATTCGGTGTTCAATTTATAGTATACATAAATATTAGAGTATATATAATATTAGTAAATATTAGTATATTATATAGTATAATATTCGCATAATCTGTCGTTACTATTAACTTATTTAAATCAATTTCAATAGTCAATATTCAATATATTCGGTGTTCAATTTATAGTATACATAAATACTAGAGTATATATTTAATATTAATAAATATTAGTAAATATTAGTAAATATTAGTATATTATATAGTATAATATTCGCATAATCTGTCGTTACTATTAACTTACTTAAATCACAAATATCAAACACCATTGAAATGGTGAATACCGGTTCTCTATTTCGTACTACGATTACCTACGTGCCTAATTTCGCGCCTAAACATCTCGATTTACACGAGATTACAGCGCTTCTACAAGGAAAATTTGTTTTCATCGAACGACGAAAAATTGTCTTACAGACTCATTTCAATTGTTCTGCCATCCACGGAACAATCTTTAGTAAAAGGCGAAAGATTTATGCGTGATTTGAAGGGGAAACAAGAGTGGAACACGCGAAGTGGAGGCACATTGCCAGATCACGAGAGATACGGCGGTTGAATACATTTTGTTGCCTTAGCTGGTCGTTGATGTACGTACGCCGTGCACGTTTGACCCTCGTGCGTGAATTTTTAACAAATTTACGCAGATTCGCTGCCGCAGCCGCGTTTACGTCCGCGTTTACGAACGCACGCGGTTTATTGAACCCGCGGTTACAGAACGGTGAACAGCTCTTTCGTGCGCCGCCACCAATCCGAATTCTACGCCCGAAATGTCAATGTCGAGGCGAAGTTACGATCGTAGTGAAACTGACGACATGCTCGATAAATTGCTTTCTGAGTCGAGTGTCATTTCACTTTGTATTATGAATTTATGTCTTTGGAGCAGAGATTCTTGGGAGTTGATTTGTTCCGCTTCTTCCCTCTTTCTTTTTTTAAATAAGTTACTTGGAATCTAGAATTACGAGAATTCTGGAATTTTTTTATTAATTTAATATTTAATATATTTCTAATATATATTGTTATATATTTAATACATTTTTATTGCTTGAAATTTAGAATTACGAGAATTCTGGAATTTTTTTATTAATTTAATATTTAATATATTTTTAATATATATTATTATATATTTTATATATTATAATATATATTATTATATATATTATTATTCTTAGTATATTTTTAATATATATTATTATATGTTTAATATATTTTTATTACTTGGAATTTAGAATTACGAGAATTCTGGAATTATTTTATTAATTTATTATTTAATATATTTTTATTATTTGGAATTTAGAATTACGAGAATTCTGGAATTTTTTTATTAATTTAATATTTAATATATTTCTAATATATATTGTTATATATTTAATATATTTTTATTGCTTGAAATTTAGAATTACGAGAATTCTGGAATTTTTTTATTAATTTAATATTTAATATATTTTTAATATATATTATTATATATTTTATATATTATAATATATATTATTATATATATTATTATTTTTAATATATTTTTAATATATATTATTATATGTTTAATATATTTTTATTACTTGGAATTTAGAATTACGAGAATTCTGGAATTTTTTTATTAACTTATTATTTAATATATTTTTATTTTATTTGGAATTTAGAATTACGAGAATTCTGGAATTTTTTTATTAATTTAATATTTAATATATTTAATATAGTTTTAATTGAGATCACTTCGGTTGTTTTTGCTAAGTTTCGGCACAATTTTGTCGGGACAACGCCGGCGTCAGAAGGCGTTATGAACGCGTTGAAAGTATAATGAAGCAGAAAACATGGCAACCGAGAGGTTTTTGAAATTGATCAAGATTAGTGGCCGACGCGTGTGTTTTCGTATATTTTGGGAGACGACGAGAGGAGATGTCGAGAAAGTTATTACAAAGCTTGAGCAACTGTCGAGGTGTGTATCTTCTCACAGAGAGGGAATTAATTCGTGCGCTGGATAAATGAGCATAGATTTCAACGAAACGTTAGGAGAATGTTGTCTTTTTCGAACGGCAGATAAAGAAAAATGTTGATAGTTATGTACGTACGCCGGTACAGCAGATAAAATAGTGGACGCGATGATGTTTGACGTGCATGACGCGAACGACATGATTCATTTTATTAGCCGCAACGGGACACGAGTTTAATATACGTACAGTTATGTGTTACGTGTAACGCTGATCAATATGCAGAAGTACAAAAACGAACAGAGGCGATAAATTAAAACCGTGTCCTCGTGGGAAGAGATATGTTTGTTCGATTTGATTTTAAAAAATTCACGCGACGACGATTGTAAATTTACGATGAACAGAGCTTCGGTGCTCTGTGTTAATAATAACTGTGTGCTTTTAGGATTCATACCGTATTCGGAGGTGATTAATAGTAAATTATTATTACATCGATAACTCTGACTGACGGTGTTTACGCACGTAAAACATGCAAAGAGCGCAAGTGTGTATGAAAAATATTTCTGTTTCTCGTACACACTTGCATGTGAGAAAGGTATATAACAATAGCCACGAAAAATATTTGCAAACATGCACAAGGCACGTGCAAGTATGTATGAAGAAATATATAAATACGATGCAAGTTTGCGACAACAAATGCACGAAAAATGTATGAAAAAACGTGAACATTATAACATTGTAATATATTCAGCAGTAATTATGGTATTATCACTTTCACCTATTACTTGGTATCAACGTCGATAGGAGGTAGAAATCGCATTTACATATTAAATTGTATAATATTACGACATGCAGCTATTAAAATTGTCACGTAACAGTTTGACAATTTTATTCGCCTACGATGCAATGGAACAGATATAAAAGCAACAAATATTGTAACACATATGTGCATACGTGTACCTTTTAACAAAAACATGAAAAACATATTACTCTGACTAATCTAGCAATAGTTCTAGATTTATGGCCAATTCTGGATATAAATTGCACAAGAATGCACAAGAATTATTTGTGCACATTACTATTTTCCAATGAAACGTTTTCTCATCAGAGTCTACGTTTCATTTTCATAATGTTAGATTTTAGAATAGTTGCAGGAAAATATTACACAAGAAAATATGCTTTTATCTAACCATTATGATATTATCGAGAATAGATAGAATCTAAAAATTCGTGACAGGCTGCGTGAAGGATTTCCGAGAGAAGTTGGAAGACCTTGAACTCCGCCGAATGCAAGGCCGTGGCGATCTGTCGAGGACAGTCTAACGATCGAAGGGTACAGACTTTCGTAGCCTTGTGAGCGTGAAACCTACTAAATGGACTTGCACAACTTTCTGATCCTCAGACAATTAGTGTGAAGTCTACGACGATTGTAATTGTAATTTCGAAATGCTTGTGATTGTAACAAACTACAACTTATTTAGAAATTAATGTGAGAGTTTGAGACTCTGTAAAGCACACTACAAATTGCATGAAAGCTCAGAAACTCTCTGACGATGAAACTCAATTCTGACTATAATTTCTGTAATAATTCGTGATAAATCCCAGTTTCTCTTTTGCAGCTCCTCTCTTTTGGATAAGTATAGGTATTTAATTAAACGACTAAACTATTTAAAAAATTAATATGTTATATATTATATATTACTTATATAGTAATATTTATATTAATATGTAATAGTAATATATTATATATTACTTATATATTACTATTATTAATTATATATTATTATTATTAATATTAATTATATACATATTATATATTATTATATATTATTATAATAATATATAATTATATTATATATTATTATTATTAATATTAATTATATATCACTTATATATCAATATTTATATTAATATATAATAGTAATATATATATATTATATATTACTATGTATTATAATATATAGTAATACTAATATATTTATAACTAATAAATATATTAGTAAATATAAATATATTTTATACTAATATCTTTATAAAACTAATATAGTTTGTTATCTCAGAGAAGCAGTCTTTCCAATTTGTACAATATTCGTGTTTTCCAATGAACATGATTCTCATCTACGTTTCATTTCCGTAGTATTAAATTTTTTGTAGTTACAGAAAGATATTATTAACTCTCAAGTCATTCGATGTTCATCAGATTATTTAATACATAATACGCCCGCTTATACAAAATACACGGAGCATAAACAGTTTGTACAATTAGAATTTCTATAATCCACCCTCCCTCACATAATAGCGAAAATAAATACGTTCAAATAAATTCAATAAATATTCATTTATTGACTGAGACTTGGTACAAGCTCGTGCAAACTTGGTGGAATTCTCGTGTATTTAAACACACGATAAAGTAGCACGCGAATCTCGTAACAAATGTATTATTGTGCAAATACTTTTCGTAGCTGTAGCGTGATATTTGCATGTGGAAGTTCAACGTTAAGCCGAAGAGTCGCTCCGAAACAAACAGAGTTTCAGCTCGGATGCTGAAAATCGGCAACAGCAGAGAGTACGTAGGTGTATTTTCTTCACGTAACGTGGATCTAGTATTCCATTCCGAAATCATAGCTGATTTTTTCGACGACGGCCACACGCGGCTGATTATGGCAACGACAAATCACCGTCGTCGTGACTTATGCTTAAACGCGTGTCCTCGCCGAGCACGTCCTTCTGCTCAAGAACGTCTCTATATTAGGGTGAAAGTCAGTGAACTTTCAGTTTGTTCGCTGCGTTTCTGCGAAACCCTAATTACCCCTGTGCTGGTTATCTCGATCGCGCTTGGTTATCTTGACCCTCTTGGGAGTTTGTTCAACGAAACGCGGATGAACTGAGACTTGGATCACTCGGCTGATTTTATCGTGACTCTTGATCGTGACTTTTGTGCGGAATCAGACGAAAGAATGTTACAATGAACCTATCGCCCGGTAGGCAGGTTTCGCTTCATCTTCGTGATTATCGTTAGTTTAATGAGAGGTGACTAAGAAGCTCTCGAGTTCGATCATGTATTTGCTTATTTTGCAACCCTTAACGCTCTGTTGGCTCTGTTATGAAGACATCTAATATTTGTTTATGTTATATTATAATAATATATATAATATATAATAATAATAATAAATAAAAAATAAAAATAAAAATAAAGATATATAATATACTAATAACATATTATATTATAATAATGTAATGGCTTCGCAGCAGAGACATTTGTAATTAACATGATTACGTTCAAAACGCTATATTACCATCGGCGTTAGCTATTTGTTTCTTTATTTATAACGTACCACTTCTGTAATTCTGAGGCTTCCTACTAAAATAAATCCGTAATCTTTTTATGATAGGAGGCACAAATTTGCGAACGCTGTGACCGGTCGACATTTGAAAAAAAGAAATAATTTTTGAAACATAATGAAAAAAGTCACGTTTGAACTTAAATTTAATTTACAATTAACGAAATTAATTTTTCCTTACATTGTGATGCTTTTATTAAAAAGAAAAAGAAGAAAAAAAATAGGTCAGATTCGGCCC